ACACCTATGCATATATTATTTCAAAAACTGGCTAATTAATCAATGCAAGATATTCTAAGTAAAAATGCTCTACGCCCTAAAAACCCTTCTCAAACCTTAATCTTAACCCTAAATACTAACACTAACATGAAAATTTTTATATTCAAAACTTGGAAAAATCTAAAAAACATAATAAAACGTATGATAGGTGCAAAACCACCATAGGTGCGTTTTATAATAAATGAAAAAAAATTTATTTATTAAATAAGCTTACTAAATAAACCGGTAAATTTAAATCATTTTAAAATTTTTTTCTAGTAAAAACTTTGTACACCTCTCTAAGTTAGTGATGCGGTAGAATCGTCCCAATGAAGTCCCAATGAATTTTTGAGATACGGCAAATTGAGTTACGGCTTATTTGTCGCTTAATAAAAGTTACGCCACGCCGTAACTTTTCACATCAAAAAATCCATTGGGACTTCATTGGGACGACTCTACCGCATCACTACTCTAAGTGCACACCCTCAGGACCATAGTAAAAAAAAGGCAAAAAGAGGGTGTGCATTTAGAGGGGTTAAAATTTATATAAAAAAAATCACTACGTCTATAAATATTGAAATATATACTAAAAAAATGCAGAAAAAAAAAAAACCTGTAATTCACACTCTTGTGCATTAAGTTTTTACTTTATTAGCAGTATTAGAACTTTTTGAGTTAAATAACATTATCACTAAAATCAAACAAAGAACAATTTATCGGAGATCAAAAATTATAACCAAAATGATAACTAATTATTACGTCAATGGGAAATATTTCATGCCCATTTTTATTCAGTAACTCAAATCTTATACAGCGTAGTGATAATAAAAAAATGAGTAAAATGTCTTCATTTACAACACCATTTACTACAATACCATTAAACATGCCATTTCCGACGTGCACAACGCCAAATTCAATTTGCATCAACATAACGTTCTTTCTTACATGTTTTGTCGCTTTTTTGATTGCTATTTTTGCGCCACCGTTCTTTGGTTTATTTCGAGCTTGGCTGTTACTATTTTTTGTTGATATTTTATCAGCGGTCTATTGTTGTTCTATTGAAGGTTGGTCAAACTTTTTGTAAATTGGTATGAAATTTAGGTATCATCTAATGATAATTTACTTCAGGAATGTATGAAATGTTCGCGGCACGTACTGGATGATAGGGGATTTAATTAATTGTGGCAACATTTTATAAAGATTTTAACCTTTGAATAATGTATGTATAATTATATTAGTAGTGAAAATAGTGAAAAGGGTTTAGTCACTTTTACGTTGTAAATGAGATAAATACCTTTTAACATGTTTTTCAGAATACAGGAATATAATAATAGGACATTCAATATTTCCTTAATGTTCTCAAAAGTTTCTTATTGTTCTCTATGTAAGAAAAATGTTAACATTTATTTTCTTGATCCTATAAAAAACGTTTTACTTTAATGTTTTAACAAAAAAAAATTCACGATCTCAAAATCATGACTGATGAATGTGTGCAAAAAGAAACTAAACGGTCTACTTTTAAAGTGAAGTGGCCTAAATGAATAATTATCTTCTGATGACCGTTATTAATGAATAATTCACAAAATATTAAAGCGTAAAGTTTTTTTCTAATGAATTATATTATAATGGTAAAGAAAAAAGCTTCCATAAATTTAAATATACTGTATGTTCCGAAATTCGAGACGCTCATGTTCAATAAAAGGTCGAAATTTGAACCTAAAGTACATGTATTAAATCCACTACCCTAATCCATGTTTTTTTTTATTCCATGTTTTATCCATAAATGTTGCATATTGATGGAGTTTATACCTTCAAATGACAGAAATTATTCGGCGTAGCCAGTTGCAAATTTATTGAATTTTTACAGAAAATAAGGAAATATAATGAAAGTATTCGAATAAAAATTTTTATAGGGCTAATACATGTTATACAAAGTGGGCGTTACTTTAAACCGAAGTATGACGTTTTAAATAGTACAACTTCTGAAATAACGCTCACAGCGTTATTTCGCGATTTTACGGTAATATATATTTTGTATTAATTGTAATGTGATTCTTTTGCGCATATAGTCATTATAGAACAAATTTTCTGGCTATCTTCTATGTAATTACAATTATAGTGCGAGATAGATCTAGCATACATTTCTCACGAGATTATATTGCGCGATTTCACGCATACCATGTGATAAGAAATTATTTTAGATAATTTATCTTGCAAGTCTTTAAAACGCTCACTTTGAAAAGTAATTAATATCAAATACTGTATAAATGATTTATGACCAAAATTTGCTTCAAATACTCTCCTTTCTCGTTAATAACCAAATCATTGCATATCCGCGGATATTTGGAATTATATACTATTTAAAATTTTCAAAATCTTTAATCATAAAATACCTTGATTCATTGGTTCATTTGGATGATTAATAAGACGATTCTAACGAGCCTAAAATCGTTAAAATCCAATAATGGGATCCCGAGATAGTTAAGGATTTATGTCACTTCGGGATCCCATTATTGGATTTTAACGATTTTATGCTTGTTAGAATCGTCTCATTGAGACGGTCATTTCGATGGTAAACTAAAACGGACCAGTGAATCAAAAGTTATTTATGGGTAAAGGTTTTGGAATTTTTAATAGTAATTCTTAATATCGGCGTTTACAAATTAGAAATTTTAAGGTGCGAATGTATAAGAATACGCCTAGAATTGTTATTAATTCCGAGCGGAATACAGTAATACTGTAATATATAGTTATTGGATGCGAAGCAGCCAATAACGGAAATTATCCGGCAGC